CAGGGGTAAAGCGGCTGGTGCTTGAAACTGACCACTCACCTCCAACTAGTGCAGAGGTCAAGAAAACGTGGGTCTACACATCTACTCCCCCATACGTGTTCAATTAGTTAAGCACAGGGATAACTTTGCCTTTACTTTTACCTTTACCTTTGCCTTTATGCTCGCGTTCCACAACAAAAACGTGTTTTCGTCGAAGGTCCAGACTGTAATTGGACTGTAAAATCTTACTGCCGCCTGGAGGTCCTAATCGTAACTACTAACAAATCTAACTCCTGTATAATCAAACAATGACACAGTGGCAAGCCTTAGGCTTATACTCGTATTTGCATGTAGAGTGTCTGTACATTCGCTTTGAACCAAAAGCTAGGTTATCCCTTTGTCACTTACAATGACACTATTGGTTAGTTATTGGAGAGGGGTTTCCCCATGCACTTAGACCAGTATTGGTCCATTGTGCTTCCCTCTATAATAGTCTACCAGTCTCTATACCCTACCGATATTGGTGCATCCCATCAGTCCCGACCGAACCAGCGAGTTTGGCCTCTACTGGCTTGGCGGTATCTATAATGCTTCCCCCATCTATCAGAGATGTTAGAGACTACTGTTGGGCGGGAAATGTCCTTGAATTTGGCTCAGTGACCTCCTTTGGAGATATGAGGTTCTTTTACGTGCCGTAAAGCTACGACACGGGNCACGGCTTAAAGTCCCTCCCGGAGGACTTGTTCCCTGAATTTTTCTGCCCTTAAAAATTCGACGACCTCCGCCGGGTTTGAACCCGCGTACCACGAGTCATGAAGTGGGAACGTTACCTCTAGACTACGGAGGCCGCTTACAATGACACTATTACGGTTATCTTGTAGAACACTCTGTTTACATTCCTTGCCAGTTAGTTCAATACAAGAAGCAACTACTGAATTATTCTTATAATTCAGGTCATAAAAATAAAAGGTGGCATAACACACCATTTACATATTATTTACCGCTTTAATACTGAACATTGATCAGCAACAGCTTTAACTGCAGTTGCTAAATTCATCAGGTATTGCATTAACCCAAATATTCGCTTATGGACAAAGCACCAGCAGACGTAAATACGTTATACTCGTATCTTGTAGTGTCTAGCAAAGGCCAAGCAGCCAGGACTGAAGGAAATGGGAGTCAAAGTATTTTATGTTATAAATTGCAATGGAGCAGGAAGCTGGACGTAAGGGAGTTGTGTTTAAAATTGTATGCCTGTACTATTGAAAGAGGACAAAGACGTAGAGTTATATTTAAAGGAAAATGAACTATGAAACTAACTTACTCTACGAATCTTAGTTCTTCTTGGTAAGATGCCAGTCTCGGAGCTGCTCAAGAAGTTTCCCAATATTTTATGGAACCCGAAGGTTCTTTACAAATTGAGCAAGAGCCCTCTACCGTTTCCTATCCTGACCCAGACGAATCCATACCATACCATACCACCCCACACTTATGTTCCATTTTAATATTATCCTTCCATCTACGTCTAGATTTTCTTAGTAGTCTCTTTCCTTCTGGCTTTCGCACCAAAATCCTACATGCAGCATTCTCCTTCCCCATGCATGCTACATTCCTTACTCAGAGGAAAAGGAACTGGAACAGTTAATGGCGGTTTTGCCATATATATATATATATATATACCTTGCGTGTAATTTCAAATACGATTACACAGAAAACCCAGAAATAGGATTCAAGTGTTACTCCTAAAAATATGTTAGCTGCTGCTTCATCAGTGATTCTAAAGGAACATGGGCCCGCCGCATTCGCTGTTCTGTTGGAATGCACCTCGTTCCTATACCGCGCTGCTTGCACTAGGTTTAATGCTTTTATTCGGTAGCTGCTCGGTTCGAACCTTGCTTGGGACACGGGCAATCCCGAGTGAGGTCTTTTGTGGTTTTCCTCAGTCCTTCCAGGTAAATTCTGGGATAGTACCTCAATTAGGCTACGACTGCACTCTTCCAAACCTTAATCCATCATTGAACAGTCATCCCTCACCCGATGCTATATATTCTCACCACTGAAAGCGTTTGTTATATAAACTGCGGAAATTAAGATTCCTGCTGTACTTTGTCGATGAATAAAACAGTAAAAGTCGGCGTGCGTATTTACATTAGTGTGACAAATGAACTCAATAGGTCATTAAAGGTCGCGGTGCAAGTGCCAACAACTAGGCCCACCCCTTATATAAACTCCGTAGCCCGTAGTCCGCAAGCGAACTATACCGACCGAGCAACCGCCGCATGTCGGTGAAGTTAGTGACAACGTTTGCGGATTGAGGGTGTCACGTGGTCAGCACAACGGATCCCCACGACCGACAATCTTGGTTTTCCAGACCGGAGCCGCCATTTCCTTGAAATAGCTCATGAGTAGACCCCGTTCCAGACCCACCACTTCTCAGTAAATCTGGTAGCGCCGGGAAACGAACCCGGAACCTCTGGATCTGTAGGTAGGAACTCTGACCACTAGACCACCCCGTATATACTATATACGTATGTATGAACAATGATTCTAAAATAGTTATTTAGCACTTTCTAACCGTATAGTGACATCCATTCTTTCACTCAGCTTTTAATACATACATTAATTGTTATGAGCCGGTCACGGTAGTCGAGCGGTCTAGGGCATGAACTGTCTTCGCTCGCTCGGAAGCTGGGATCGTGGTTTCGAATCCCACTGAGGGCATGGATGTTTGATGTGTTTCTGCGTTTTTCTGTGTTTGTGGTGTCCTGTAGTTAGGTAACGGCCTTACGACGGGCCAATCACTTGCCCAAGGGGTCCTACCATCTGTTAAATAATGAAAATAATAAAAGAAACCTGGACACTTGTAAAAGGGTTTAGGAGGAAAGGATGAAAAAAAATATTAACTTCCTACAAATTATCAGCTAATATCCATGAATCTTGATTCACTTTCCAAGTTTACATGCCACGTGCCATATTGACTTAAATTTTCTGTAAGAAAATATACATTTAGATTTCTCTGTTAGTGGGTTCGGACATGATTTACACAACTTTCGTGTTATACAGAAATTATTTCCCCAGTGCTCATGGAGTATACTAAATCATATATAATTAGCATTTGGCCGGTTGCACGGGCTTACAACGTTCAGGTTCTCAGCTCTTGCCGATAGCAATAGTGTATGGTTTTCAGATGTTACGGGATGCGGTTGGGCCATGTCTTTGTCATACCAGCTGTGACGCTAAGATGCTTTCCCAGCTATTAATAACAATATACTGGAGAGAACAAGTTTATCGTAACTTAGCTTGCACCTGTAAGTTCATAATTAACGCCATTTGATATACCACCCCTTGTTTCACGTCGCATTAACTGTGTAGGATTTTCCAAAATGAATTGTAATGTGTTCCGTGCGATTGAACAATTTAATACTACAGGAAAATCTTTCATTCAATGAAAGAATTTTGAGATGTGTAACAAAGAGAAACGAGCATGCTGCCATAACGGTAACGCTCTGAACTTTTATTTCCGAGGTGTTCTATTCGTATCTCGGCAGGTATATCCATATTCTTAATGAGGTGTTTTGTAGTTTTCCTCATTTCCTTCATGTAAATTCCAGGGTATTACCTCGATTTTGCTACGTCTTCCTTCCAAACTATTTCCAATTCATTATTATTATTATTATTATTATTAACCTGCTTCATACTATTCAGTCCAGAGGCTTTTGTCTTCTCGTCTGCTGTCTACAAACATAAAAATTAGAATATAAAAAACTTTAATTTTGCCTGTGGTTCTGTATGGATCTGAAACTTCGTCTCTGGCATTAAGGGAGGAACATAGACTGAAGGTGTTTGAGAGCGGTGTTGAGGAGAATATTTGTACCGAAGAGGAATGAAGCGACAGGAAGTTGGAGAAAACTGCATAATGAGGAGCTTCATAACTTGTACTCTTCTCCAAGTAAAATTAGAATGATGAAGTCACGGAGGATGAGATGGGAAGGGCATGCAGCACGAATGTTGGCGAAAGGGAATGCATGTAGTTATAACTACAATTGTTTCCTGTTTACGGCTGCAAACATTTGTCGCTTAAAGGTGTTCACAACTCGGTCGAGAAATTCTCTCAAGGACGTTAGAAAGTCTTCGATGATGGCCGACCAGGTCGTCCTGTTAAGACTGCGACAGAAGGACGCACTGGTAACGCGATGGGACAAATGTATCACTATCTGTGGCAGATATGTCAAGAAATACATTTTTCTCGGGCCTGATATAATATACTTCCTTTGGTCTATTTTCGACTTCATCCATCGTCTGGTATGTAAAAGACAAAAGACCACGACGTTTCGGAAACTGGATCTGTCTCCGTCTTCAGGTGGGTAGGGAAGGATAAACCTATTCAGTTGGGCCCGTTAGAAAGAGCTAGTCTCAATCACCGGACCAATCCCACCTGAAGACGGAGACAGATCCAGTCTCCGAAACGTCGTGGTCTTTTGTCTTTTACATACCAGACAATGGATGAAGTCGAAAAGAAGTACAGTATACATCATCGTCAGAATCCTTTCAAGTCTATCTGATATAATATGTTTAACGTTTTATATCAATTTGTGACCTATTTACTGACTCTTGCCAGTGTTTAGCAGCCTTCGCTGATTCGCAGGTCCACAAGAGAATAACTCAGTGTTACTCATACCAATGACATGATTTCAGATTCCAGGCTTTTGTTTACGAAAAAAAGACCTAGGATTTCTAATACGGTTCAGACTTCGTGAAAGGTAATTTTGTTGCAGCGCTTTCCTGAATGCTTGCATATTCATATATATTTATAAGATTTAACTATTTAATTCTACTAAAACGGATTTTCAGCTTTAAGTTCATGATATGTACCAGCAGTTACGGTGCACAATGGGCATAATTGTTTTTAGAATGTTTTACACTTTAACGTCTTAAGAGTGTTATGTGACACAGTGTGATATATGTTATACATATGTAAGTTTGCAGTTCACAGTGACTGTAGATGTTTTCTTTTTTTTCAGGTTTCTTCTTAGATGCGTCGGCGTGATTACCTTACTCTCACCAGTTCAGGTACGAGATTTCTAATTTATGTTACACATTAAAATGCCCTTTACACTTAGTTATTCGTAATGTCTCTTAAATTGGGAAACGCAACAAAACTGAAGTCCCATATTAAATGTAAGATTTCTGGCTGCTAAAATTTTAACACTTGAGTGAGAACACGCATGTAGAATATTAATTAGTTTAAATATTGCGATATTTGTGTTTTTCAGCAAATTCGGCTTACCCTCTGAAAGCTCTTCTTTAAAAGCAAGTAATTTTGTGCCCCATTTCAGAACGAATTACTAAGCGTTTTCCTTTCACACTTTCACTCTGCGTACTGAGGAATGCCTGAAAGTAGCCACAAGGATCACGTCAACACGCTAATTGCTTCTAATTAAAAATGCTTAATGAGCATTAGGGTCGTTAAAAGATTGACGAGGCTAATGAGTACTTTTAAACGAAATTACCTTGTCGATGCCGATCAAAGCCAGACTGCAGTAACTGGTACACTGCTTGGGCTCTGGAACCCTCCTTTGGCTGGGATGGTGTCTCTGACAGTGAATGCTGATACGGCGGTTTTTGTTTTTGGCATATTTTGACCAGGATATTACTTAATCGTTTTAAATCTTTGTGTAAATATTATTCCATAAAACAATAGACCCGTTAGAACAAAGAATCCCATTTATATGATCGGACGTAATAACAACCTCCAATATGTCGATATATTAATGCGCAGTCACATTAAAGTGTTAATTAATTTTAAAGTAAAATAAATCATAAACCAATTGGGTAGGACTGAAAAACAGGGGAAGGTCTGAAACAAGATTTTCAGTCAACAACTGCCTTACGATGGGAAACTCAAAGTAAATGTTGAGTACTGGCTTCTGGGTTGTAATGCCCAGCGTTTCGGAGGAAAGTATCGTCTCCGTCTTCAGGGTCGAAGAGTAGGACAAGCAGGAAATACGAATATGCAGGCTGGAAGCCGAGATAATTATTTGTATTTCAAGCCTACACATCTATCTCAACTGTGAATTTACATATTTAGGGAAAAATTAAATCATTTACGTATAGTATGAGCCGGCATAGCTCATTCGGTATAGGGACGGACTACGGGCTGGGTTCGATTCCGGACAGGAGCAAGACTTTTTTTTTACTTTTTCACAGCGTCCCGACCGCCTGTTGGCCCCACCCCGCCTCTTATCCAGTGGGTACTGGGGGCCGTTTTCCCCGGGGTAAAGCGGCAGGGGCCTGAACCTGACCACTCAGCTCAATCTGGTGCCGAGGCCAACGAATTGTACGTCCACTCCCCCGTACGCCTTCATGGTGTAATGTAATTAATTAATCAGAGAGACAGCTTTGCCTGGGCTTTCTGTATAACGCTACAAAATGTACGTATAAGAATGCAATGCGGGCGGTATATCCTTAATATTGACAGTTACTTCCCATTAGAATTCTGGTGGGAAAATAATCCAGATTTGTACACGAATCTCGGAGAATAATGTTGCGGAGTCACAGGAACTACAAACGTGTCTGCTTGCTCTTATGTAAGAAACTCATGTCACAGGCCTGTGGGCTGAGCAAGAAGCGAGAGGGATGTGGCGATAAGTAACAGAAGGAGTCCGGCGAGGTTATTCAAAATGGACGGCGAATAGAAGCACGTGGGCTATATCAGTAGGCAAATGTATCTTTTGCGGTGGCAAGCCATGTATAACAAATTTTCAAATATATATTTATGTAATTTCTTTAATATTTAAATTACAGATTATTAATAAAACATATACTCTTCAGTGAATACAATTTTTAAATATGTAGTCATAAACCACAACATATTTCGGCCATATATGATTAATTTGAGGGGCATGAAATTATGAAAGAAAATTTTACATGAAATTATTGAAATATGCATGGATTATTTCGAATAGATCTTTACTTAGAATAGTTATAGTGTTAAAAGCTTGCGTAATGTAAGCAAGTAGTAGCTTTTTTTTT